ACACATAATTTTCTTAATACATTTGGGCGGCTAGCTATTTTTTTAATTTTGACATAATTATATATATATTTTTTATCTTCTTACTATGAATAACTAAAATCACAAATTCACAGCATTGTAATTCTAAATGTTTTCCAAGATATCACATTTCATTGTGTAGTCTCTCATAACATAGTCTTGCTTCTCAATACTTAATAGGAGAAACAGAAAAGTTGATAAAAAAATATAAAAAGAATGCGACAGAGAAAATAAACTTACCTTGACTTAAAATGAAAGAACCTGCAAGAATGATAATCAGAAAAGTCATATGATCTAGGGCTTCTTGAAAAGTAGATCACCGACTTTTTTAGCGACTGAAGACTATTTTTATACAATACCAATGATACATTGACAGCTTTGCAATTAAGGATAAGATTAGAATGAGAAATCAAGCTTAAATGGACGTTGCAATAGCATTAAAAGAAATTTAACAGTGGCATCCATGAATTAGTTGTCTCCTCCTACGTATGGTTGGCTCTTCCTGATCTAGCAGTCATGGGATAACTCAACCATAGAAAGAGGGGTTCGACTTGCCCGTAAATGAATTCTTGATTTTGATCTCTAGTTATCTATGTTTTCATATGGTCTATTTAACCCGAAAAATTGATAAACAGAAAGTGACAACGAACATAAACTTACCTTGATCAATGAAGGTACATCTGATGCATGTTAAAGAGCAATAATAGCCGATTGTGGCTCCATTTACAGACTTAATCTTGTCAGTGAAATACCTTATGGCTTATACGTAGCCACATAAAGTGAAGGGTGGTTAGTTAAACACTCTCTAATGGAAAATTATAAAGTAAACAATATTTTTTAGTATATACAGATCAAAAGTTACTTTTTAGACATGTATATTAAATCATTAACAACCTTAACGATTTTTTCTGGTTTGCCAATGGACTTACCGTGGCTCCTTCAATGAGAGGAACCCTACAGACTGCGGATTGTAAACAATCTAGGGAACTTGACACTGCTGAAGAATGCTGCTTTTCCATAGAACCCCATGCTTCTAGTAACTTTATTTGCACAATACATTGCGAAAAAATCATATATTTAATTGTTGTGATGATTTTTGTTACTGTCTGACCGATATTCATCAAGGGTAAATCAGTTCTTACTTGAGAATAAAGAACAAAACTCAATTTCATTTCCATGTTTTTCCTCTGTAGCTGCAACTTCTTTTGTAGCACAGATTCTCATTTTCATTAGACAATCCCAAGCATATACTAAGTTTGCCTAAGAGAAAAACCAAATAAACAATTAGTAAAATTTCTAACTCCGCGACTGACCTGAGCTTGTCTACTGAGTTGTGACGGATTGAATCAGCTCTGGTATTTATATATCTCCACTGCAACAATTTATTATGAAGTATCCTCAAATGATGAATGCTCTCCGTTATGCCAGGACTAAGCGGAGACTTCTATTCTATACCTGTCTCCTTCTGTTACTATTATATAACCTCCTCGAAGCAAGGAAGGGAAGTGGAGTAATTGTGAAGTTTGGTCCTACTGTTGGTTTATTTTGTTACTAAAAAAATGAAAAAGAAGAAAGAAAATGACATGGGTTTGGGAGCCAAACCGAAGCCTCCACTGTAGCTTCAACTGTAAAAAAAAATAAAAAATCTTACCTTTAAGCAATTCAAGCCCCATGCTAAGGAAATTCCCAACATTTTTTCCCTTCGAAGGACTCGTCGGAGGCTTAATATTCGATGTAAAAATTCCTTTATTCTGCATCAACACATGAGGCAAATTCGGCCTTCCAGGAGACAAAGCCCATTTAGAAGTTTTACTATTAAGTGAAGTAGCAACCCTCCAGGAGACAAAGCCCATTTAGAAGTTTTACTGTGAAGTGAAGTAGTAGCCCTTTGCATTGGATTCTTGAATTTCAATCCTAATTTTAAAGACTCTGGCTTCACAACACCAAAATCTGAACTCCATCTTCGCAATTTTGATAATGAATCTTGCATATACTTCGATGGTACTTCAATACCAGACTTTCGTAAACTTAATGTTGGTGCCATATATGATGGTGCTCCAATATTTCTCCCAAAAACAGGGGAATCAAAACTTTTGTACAATACTTGAGATAAACTGATAAATTTTCCATGTTCAATGCAACGTAGAATATTACTTAGTTGTGCAAAATTTTCTCATTATAGAGGTTGCAATCCTTGTTCCATTCTTGAAAAGTATTACCAATCAATTTTTACTGTAAAATTTTAATTAACATCAAAGTGAAGAACGATTTTCATTTCATAATTTGAAACAACCGCACTAAGATGAAGCATCAAATGTAAATTGATATAAATAACTGCTAAGAACAACTAAACTCATGTGAAGTTGCCTCAAACATTTTAACAGAAACTGGCATATTAACTTACATGTAAATCTGGAACTCTGAAGTAGCATATGATCGCCCCCGCTATGATGCCACACCTAATTTTCCTATCTGCTGAGTGTCGGATATAAATGTTGTCTCTGAGAAACATGAACTAACATATATGACACTATAAAGCTGTAACTTGTAAGCGTGTGAAATGGAATGGTTATATAGTTACTAAAGTAAGGTAGGATTTTTATTTAATATAGTAGACGTCAATACAGTAAAGTCATATGCTTAACACAACTACAATTTTTTAGCAAGAAAATACAAATTAGCTTAAAACAAACAATACAAACTCAATTCAACTATTACCAATACACAAATAAAATGCTCAAAAGAAAATATAACAAAGTAATTGATATTCATTTGTCTTGTTACATTTCTTGCCCTATTAACTTTCTCAAACATATGACATATGTTTCCAAGGTTTTTGATTATAATAACATTGTTGCGTGCAAGGTAATATAGGACTATAGAAGAAAGCCTAGTACAAATAAGAATTTATTATATTATAAGAGAGCAAAACTTATTAAAGAGTTCTTAAATATTTGAATTATCAGTGATCCTCTCTTCTTTTAAGACTTGGAACGAAAAATTCAGTTTGAGAATAGAAACATTTTTTCAACAGTTATTTTACCGAATTTCAGGTTTTAGTTCTTATATCCAAACGGACATTGAAATTCACACAACAAAGGAAAAAATCTCATAGAAACAAAACGGCACTATCTCATCAATCATAACAACACTATATAGAGTATTTGAAATAGTAGTCTTTCATCAATTCTTAACTATCATAATAAGCTGAGACATCTAATCTAAATAGATGCAAATATCTACTAAAATCAGAAAGTGGCATATTGACTTACCAACACGGTTATTAAAACGGATCAACATATCTCTCTTGTAGTCTTATTTCATTTATATGTTGTTACTCTCTTGGATACCATTATGACATCCTATTCATAATTTTGAAACAATGATTTCTAATTTTTCAGCTCTCATGTCGCATGTGCTCATTCAACTCATAAGGTCATAGCGCAGAAGGATCATGACTTGGTAGTTGAATTAACAACATGTTTTCAGATGTAGTTGGAATCTCAATTTAGTGTTGTCTCTGACTTAGATTAACTTTGATACCTATGGATCACAATAATATTGTGTCTAGATGATAGTGTCAATTGATTTATTATTAGTTTTTTTTAAAAAAAATAAAAAAATAGGCAAATATAGATAGGAAGTGAGTTCATCTACTGTAACACTTGATCTTTATTAAAAACTCATACATAGCCATAACTATAAGACACATTTATGTATTACAAGCACAAAAAATGGAGAAAACTACCTTGGTTCTTTAGTGGTATGAGTGCAAGATAGATCAGAGTGCCAAAGGAGGAGGGTACTTTACAGTTAAGACCCAAAACATGTACATCTCCAAAAAAGTGACCTCCACATTGCCTATGGTGTAGTGAACAATAATTTCAGCAGAAGTCCCATGTCCTCGCCGGTACAAGCAGAACAGAGTGCTTCACCTAGAAGTTTTTAGGATAACTTGATCACTCTTAACCTGCGAAAGGCAAAAGAAATATTATACGTTAATTTCTTCACTCATGTCTAGATCGTTGGATCAATTTTCTCTAAACATATCAAAGATATAGTAAAAAACTACTCGAAAACAGGCAATTGATTAATGAAGTAGTGTATTAGATTGGAAGGTGAGGTCCCAAGTGTAGGCATAAGAAGTATTTTTCACTATTATTTTCGTTCTGAAAGTAATAATTTTCAGTCAATAATTTTACTTTCTATCAAATCCTACCTAAATTAGTCCAAAAACTTTCAACGTTGCTTATAAGTTTATGAGAAACATGTTCCACACAATAGAAGAATTGTTACCCTAGTAACTAACATGAGCCAAAATTTAAAGGTATGTCAAAATCAAGAAATAATTTAGAAGGAAAACTACTGCAGGGGAATAAGTAAACAAACAAAAACCTTAAACATTATGAGAAATATAACTCCAAACAACACTCAAAAATTAAAATTAAAATACTAAGTAAATTCCCAAAACTTGTATCTAGATCGGAAATCAATATTTTCTACTCTTGAAAGATCGAACCAATAAGGTTGCTCTTTGTACCACCATGTGATGCAGTGTTCGAACACCAAAAAGAGTGAATTATATCATAAAAATGCGAGAAGAAAATGCGAACTCACATGCAGAAATTTTGAATAGCCATTTCAAATTCTCGCATCTTCCATATGTATACAATATTCAAGAAATATCAAAAACATTAAGAATTCATAAAAATGGCATGCAAACAACCACAATAAACTTTTTCAAATAAAAAATGTACCTTTTAGACTAAATTATCAATATAGAAAAAGGCATGAATCTCTCTGTATTTTCATTGTCTTTTAATATAGCAGATCCATAAAATACAGAAAAGAGTTTGAGGAGAAAATAAAAAATCTAACCATCACAATAATAAAAAGACATAGAGCCTTGAAGCAACGCCGCCGAAGAAGAGCGATTTGGAGCACAGAGAAATCATTAATTTTGTAGATAGAATACTTTGAGAGAAAGAAAGATGTAGAAGGAACACAGTACGGTAACAATAAATGAAAAATGAGGTGATAACAGTTGTATCCCACATAGCTAGTAAAAAGACAAAAACACCTGTCTAGAAAAGGTGCATACACGTGGTGACGTGATTGTGGGAAATTGCTAGTACAAAGCCATAAAGACTCATTCAATTAACAATGAAATGGAGCCCACTTTTGTCAATGGTAGTACAATATTTGTTCAATAAAGTGGGGGTACAACTTAAATTACATTTGGAACAAGTTTTTGGAGCTGTGTTGGTCCTTCACAACAATAAAGTGGGGTAGAACTTAAATTACATTTGGAACAAGTTTTTGGAGCTGTGTTGGTCCTCACAACTGCCTCTTCTAAATAAGGGCTTAAATTACATTTGGAACAAGTTTTTGGAGCTGTGTTGGTCCTCACAACTCCCTCTTCTAAATAAGGGTAATAATATACATAAAAATTAGGCTTTGTATCTATAGTTAATTTTCCGACAAAGAAAATTTAGAGAAATACGAAAAGTCAAATTTTGACTTTCATTATAAAACCTTATCTAGAATTCGTGAGTAAAATCAAGTAAAACGATCTTGTTCAATCGGCTAAATGTTGACCTTATCATAAAGGAAAAAATTCACTACTTTTAGTACTCCAGTTGCTAATTATTGTTTATTCTTGCTTTGTAATTTAAAACTATAGAAATATATTTGTTAAATTAATCTGCCGCCAGACCAACCAGCAATTAGACCTCACAGTCTTTGTGCTTAATGTTAAATTAGTAACGCAATTATCAACAAATGTGTGCTGTTTAATTTCTTGGGATTTAATAATCGGAAATGGAACTATCAACAGACGTATTATCTTTCTTTGGAGTAATGATTGGAACTCTACATAATAACAACATATATATATATATATATATATTACTATATATAATAAGTGGAAATATCTACTACTTAGCACATGACAAGTGTTGGATGATATGTGTTTGATAGTGTTGTACATTCTTCTTTTATGGTTGTACCTTTAAAATTTATATTATTGGACAATTTAACACCATTAATTACCTACTACTTTATTAGCCAAAAAGTTTGACCTCATTCTTTTTTTCAACCTTTTATTTTAAACTTCTTCAAATTTAATTACCTATTTATTACTCTCTCTATGCACTTTTAATTGTTATGATTTCCTTTTTAGAGTCAAACTATAAGAATTTTAACTAATATTTTACAATGTGTTTTTTCATCATATTCATAGGCAAAAAATTACAATTTATAGTACTTTTTGTATAGATTTTGCATATT